CTGTAATTAGGACCACCTTTGAAGGCTGTCTAACGGTTACAGAACAAAGTCTCAAAATTCCCTTTCGCAAAAGATTCTAGAAAAACAAGGAAGCTCCCTTTTTTTTTCGCAAAAGAAAGAATTCGAATATATTTTAGGGATAAGAACCGGATGTGAAAACCGGAACTTTCTAGGAAGTCTCAGGTGGTCAAAGTGAACACACATTTTTGTAAGACACTATCCAAATACGAATAAAAATTGAGAATTGTGAACAATAGTGGTGATTCCTCCTCTCCCTAGAAAAAACAGGAAAGCTATTTGCGTTTGCAAATATACTTTATACAGCAAAAATGTTTCAGTATAGGAGAAAGGGGAAAAAAGGGAATATCATATAGACACGTGAAATATTTCTTTATAAAAGTAGAAAATTATATTATTATTATTACCCCAACGGGGCAATTTGCCCAAAAGGGGCTATTAATTTCGTTTGGGCATTTTGTGTCGTCCACTATAAAACGGCGTTTCATTTTGCAAATTGTTGCGACCAAATATTAGAACTCTGTACTATATTTAAAGAAATTAAATAATGAAGATTCTGCATGAACATATATATGTTTTTCGCATTGTGAAAAACGACGATACGTAGAACCATCAAATTCTGAAGAATGTGCGCAGCCCGCCACTCGAATATTGGCACCGGGAAGCCCAAATTTATACTTTGTTTTATTATCTATTTCATATTTTGTAAAACTTTAATAATGAATTTCTGATTACAAAATTCAATGATTTTCAAAATGAGCAATGGCAACACTGTACGGAAAACAAAATAAAAAAAAAATTGTTTATCTCCAGGGCGCGAGACTAAATATTTTGTAATAAGTAAAGGTAACACACAAAAAGTTAAACAAACGCCCCTTTGAGCATAATATAAAATCCGAAAGCTTTCAGTTTTTTTTTATTTTATTTTTAAAAAAAAATTTTATTGTTTTATTTTTGATGAATTATTTACTAAAATAATCATACCAATTAAATTGTGTTTGTTAAATAAAATGCTTCTCTGTTGAAACTATATTCAGCTAAATTAAAAATTGATTAAAACGTTTTGAAGAAAAAAGTGCATTATCTTTTTTTTTTAATTCATATGTTTAAGAAGTTTGAGAATCCTTATCTTTTTTTTTAATTCATATGTTTAAGTAATCAATCAATTTTCTATACTGAGAATGAGGAAAACTTATAAATACAATTAAATCAAGGAAGCGAATTTTTAGCAGCCTAGTTTTTAAGCTATTAAATAAATGCAACCTGAATTTGACAGATAACTTGATTTTTTTTAACTACATGGCTCTTGAGCACAGCAAATTTGTATTCCTAACTAAAATCAGAGTCCCTAAAATTATTGCAATTCAATTTGGCAATTAAATATAAAAAGAATTAAGTAAAATCCAGTCTTAGATTTTTACAGTAATCTCCATAGTTTTTACAGAAACTAGACTAGGTCGCAATCCGAAATCTCAGTGGCGCCCTTTCCCGATAATTTGATTAAAAATTCTTCCTTCAGAGTTTGATCAAAAGTTTATCAAAGTTTGATTCCTCGAAAAGTTGATATAATCAAAAGCCGGAGATCGCTGGATTTTGAACTCACTGGTTCGAGATTATTCTTCTCCATCTTTTTGATTCTGATATATCATGGTTAACAAAAACTCGGCTAAGCAAACTCATTCGCTGTATTTAATGTTTATACTCTATTTAATGTTTATACATCACCAAGCATCTACCTGTACGTGAGGCATGTACCTAAAACTATGTTATATATCATGCATTATAATTACTCAAAGCAAACGACACGAATTATGGAAAAAGTACTACGACATTAAAATTAGTTTACACCGAAAACTGTCAAACTTTTCGATTACAGTCGCCACGGAAATTTTAAAGGTGATCAAGCATGCAAACAAATAACAGGTGAAAAATATTGCATTTCGCAATCGCCAGCGACTCCTAGGAAAAACGCATATAAAATGCAACATTTTTACCGCAAACTGATCGTTGTAAATTATAAAGTGGTGTGATAAGGCACCTTTCTGGAAGGTTGCATGTGTGTCATACGACAGTGACTATGCTTGAGCAGTGTCATACAAAGAATAGGCATATTGTACCAGTAACAAGTAGCGTTGTGAAGTAAAAAATATGTTATAAATGGCTTGCAATCTTCTAGTTGTGATGCAAATATTAGTGTCAGAAGCGACGCAGAAGTACTCAACAAATGGCAAGGTTTCTTGACGAAACAACGTGGGAATCGCTCACGCTGCTCTTGAGCAAAAAAAATTCTTTAACAGCTGTTGTCCGAAAACGCAACACAGCACCGAACAAAATGCCACAAATGTCATGGCTTTTAATAAATGGGGAACACAAAGTGGCATGAGTTGATATGTACATGAACAGGCCAGGCTCCAGCATTTTAGACGCCCTAGGACAGTGGTGGCGAACCTTTTTGGGGTCACGTGCCCAAAATGGAATGGTCGCGTGCCATTCCGTTTAAGATATTAAATTAGAATTATTCATAAGTTACCTCATAATGCTTAGATCTGAAACCTGGAATCTATTTAACAATGAACGTATTAAAACTCACCGGCAGTCTGCAATAAAGTTCGTTTAGCAAACATTAGCTGCTTCAACTTTGGCTTATTCTTTGCTATATAACCAGTAATATTATTGGCCGAAACAGTTGAAACGTCGTAAATTAAAAAACGAAGTCTTTAAATATAGGTCAGGATTGTATTTTAGCTGTGCTGTCCGAATGTCGATGCCTTAGGCGGTAATCTATGTCACCTATGATGCACCTATACATCAAATGCCAGAAGCTGCGTAACATTTGCGTCACAGTTCACTACTAGCATTTAAAGAAGCGAACTAAGAAGCAAGTGTATCAGTTTCAAATCCAGAACATATTATTTCATTAATTAACTCAATCATTTCTTCCATTCTAGACCTAAACTTGACTATGTGGGACATACTACGTAACACGCATTACCTGCATATCTAATACTGTAATCACCTGATTGGGATGTAGCATTAGTTTTACTCGTAGCCCTGCCTACTTGTACCTTATTACCATGTCATAGAATGACATTATGCAGAGCATATGCAATTTTACCACTGGGTACTGATCTTTATTGTTGACTGAATGTCTCATTGCTCTCAGATTTATGTTTTGCCAATACTGCGTCAACATGCGCTATTTTTTACGCTCTATGAAGTGACGATAACGATATGTACCACTTTGCTCTTAGTATTATGCTCACACACTTGATTATCCCTGAAAGATTTGTGGCGAATGTCGTCGTAAAGCCCGATAGTTTTCTTTGTTAGTTACCCATCAAAGGTAACTAAGCTAAACTAGTAGATTTCAAGTTTTTGGTCATTCGTCAATGCAAGTGATGGATGAAAGTATATTACAAGCAATGATGATGCTTTAGACAGAGTAACTTCCACATCAACTTTAAAAGTTGTGAAATAAAAGTGAATCGGATTAAAAGCCGCCATTATCAAAGCTTTCGAGAGTTGGAGAATCCTTGGGGGTTTCACCTTAATTAAATTAAAAAATCTAAAGGAACTTAAAACATAATTTACTTTATTATTTTGGCATTCATTACATTCATAATGAATTAAATAATTAATTTATTGATACCGGGGAAGTGACATTTAATCCTCTCTCTTTTTTTGAACCCTCCTGGACATATTTAAACATCAAGGCATTATATAGTTTCGATTTAATGTTTAGTCTTGACAACATCTGTTCATTATTATAAAAATATTATTTCATATCAGATATTAGTTTAAATAAGTCTGTTAAAATACGTTAAGGCTGAGGACAAAACTGGGCTGAGACATTACGGCTTGCATACAAATGCGTTTAAATAAATTATCTTATCTCATAGTTAGAAGAAGGTTTGAAAGTTTCTGCAGAAGACGGTTTGGAAGACACTACATCAACGAAACAGCTCAACGCAATCTTAGCTCAAATTTTAGGCCTAACTCGTTTCTTTTCGGTTTAACCTTTCTTTCCTTTATTTCTTCGTTCTCTTTTCTGGTGATTTCTTTCTTTTTTCTTCCTAAGCTTAACGTGAACTGTTGTATCCCAAAATGAGAATGGATTGCCCCAGTTGTTGTGTCACCATTTAAGATTTCTTTTTTAGGTACATCGGGGGACAGGAGAGACAAATGCCGAGCAATCATCGCCCCTGACACACGTTGGAGGAGTAGAGAAAATTGATGCTCCACGCCGTGACCTCAAGGGTTGCAGCAGCAAATTTCTAGCCAAGCCCGCCAAACTGAAAGATTTTGTGCTTCATTTTACGTGCAACTACGATTAAGATTTCCCAGTAGTTAATAGCACTTTTACACAATGCAGTATCATCAGAGCCGTAGCTAGGGTTTTCAGTGCCCGGGACAACTGAAGATTTCGCGCTCCCTTCTGTTTGCTAAAAATGGAAAGCATAATTCTAAAATTTCATGACATCACTTTGGCGCCTCAAGTCAGATTCCGTTTTAGCTACACTACTGAGTGTAATTTATTGAAGATTAACTTCCCATTATAATTCCTTCTTTCCAGTATTTTAAGTACTTCTGACTATATTTATTATAAATGAAAAATATCACGCTGTTATTTTATATTTTTGTGAGTACAGCAGATTTTATAATCAGTGTTATTGAAAGTAATGTGGAAAATACTACTTCGGATAACTGAATACGCCGATAAAATCAAGGATACATTGATTATGGGTAAAATATTAAGGGTTCAGTATAATTCTAATTATTCGTAGTCCAGCCATACAAAACTCCAGTTAACCGGATCGCTAGTTTTTCTTCTTAAAGCAAATAATTTAGTATTGCTATTTACGGATTTTTAGCAGTTTTGTAAAAATAGCAGTAAAAATGATAATACGAAATACACGTTTCTTAAGAAGCTATTACATAAATTATTTAATTGTCTCCATGTTCCATAGACACTATATACTTACAAACATTCATGCTTCTTCCAGCATTCTAAACCGCGCCCAATGGTACGCCAGCCAGCAACGCTAATCCAAGTACAGTTCAGGTCGGTGGTTCATCTGACACTTGAATATAGTGCATGTGCAAGTATATCTGAGCTCGGACTCTGTTGGATAAAGAATTCCGTAGCAGACGCCCTTCTCATGTGCCTCTGTTAAGTTAACATCATCTACATTTCCGACTATAGTGGACTCTTGAACACTGTGCTTGGACCCTGAAAAAATTAAAAAGAGTTGCCTTAGATTAATTATGATTACTTTTACATTACGTAGATGGTCGCTTCAGGATGCATCGTTTTCCAGGTGAAGAAACTGATCGAAAAATATACAGCACGATGCAAACAGGATGGTGATGAAAGTAATGTTTCTCCTGAGCTTTCCTGAGACTAATGGTTTTATAGAGCACATCATAACGACTTTAACAAAGACACTGTTAACAAGTTACACTCTTCCGTAGCTTCTGTCATCGGAAATGGAGTTTTCCATTGGGATAATTCTCTATGACAAAAAGCCGGATTTGTGCTGCATTTGTTTGATGTTAATGAATACTAAAGAAATTCAGTTGTTGTTCTGCTTCCTAAGTCGTCAGATATTAATCCTATTATGCATATCTGCAATATTATTGCAGTTCAGATCCCATCAACAACATTCTTGTTATCTACAATCTTTACTTGCAAATCTGATACAATCTGCCTCTGAACATATAAAAATAAGCATTGTTACGTATTTTAATATAAAGAATCTGTTTCAAATTGAAAAATTCCAAATAGATTGCTTCGTAATGTATGTATGGTATTTTATCGTTTTAAATTGTGATAAAGTTGCTTTCAAATTGTTTTGTTTTATATCTGTTCTTTGCTTATTTGCCTTAATATTCAACATTTGCTTTTGTATCAAAATGTCTTTCAATTAAATGCGAAATTCTGTGTGGATTTTCTATGCTCTTACTGCAGTATTTATGAGCAACTGTTTTTTAAATTGTAGGGAAAAAATATGAAAGATTAAAAAAAAGTGATTTACAGATTCAAATGAGATAAAGTGGAACCTCAGTTAATCGGTTTTAGGATTGATGAGATTTTTCTGCAACGTGTAAATATTCAGCACCCTAAAACATACAATTAAATTACAAATTCAATTGGCCCACCAGCAGAAGAGCAATGTAACTGAACGCTGGTAGGTTAGCCGTATGGGCGTTTTCGTGTATTTCTCCATGAGTAAATACGATCTACTTTCTCTAAGATAGTTCTCCACCAAGGCATCCCTCCTCTTAGACAGATAGCTCTAGCGTGTTTGGCCAGACTCAGATAAGCCAAAACCTAATTTTACCAATTTTGTCAGAAAATATCACAATCAGAAAAGAAAACAACAACAGCAGCAAGAACAATACAAAAATATGTATTTTTAAAGAGCTAAAAGCCTTCCAGTGACTGTAAATGTCGTAACAGTAAATTTGTATATGCAAATAATTTAACAAACTCAACAAAACGCTAGCTACACGTAAATTGAGTAATGATTTTGTGTTAAATAATTACATAAAATATATGCCTAATAATAAAGTAAAAAATATAAAAGACTTAAATAAATCTGATTTTAATATAAATTTATGAAAACTGACCCTTTTCTCATTGACTACCGATCCAAAATTTCTTTAGGCAGTGCCAACTGTACATTAAAGTGTTGCACTAATACACAGCAATATTAAAAAAAAAAAAAAAAAAAAAAAAAACCACCCTACCTTTTTTAGCTCTTGCCTGTTACTTTAAAATGTTTCAAAAGTCAAAGAAGTCATACTGAAGTAACAGATGAGAGGAAATTAATCCCCATACAGCGAAACGAGCTTTTTACCAAACTATGCAAATGCATTTTGCTAAACTAGTAAGCCACAGTAAATAGGAGAAAATTCAGTACCTGCAAACTTTTCTCAGTGATATAGCTTCATGTTCCATGTCCATCGTTAAGCAAATATTCGAGCAAACTTTTGTTGCCTTTCTGCCTTCAACATCTTTACGGAAATCTGGGGAAAAAAATGTAAAATTTTATAATGTAATGTAATATGTTTCACTATCTAGCCCCCAAGAACTTAAATTTGTCCACTCCAAGAAGAATTCAACCAGTCTGGCAAAAGCAGTCCAGTATCATTTTATTAAAGGAATTCTGTTTTATGTTAAGTGTTTCAATAATTTTGCTAGACTCGGTATATCGTATAACTGCTCATAAAATCTTTATATATGCAAAAATATTAAGATGACTCAAATGCGTGGACTAGATCATACATTTGATTATACAGACAGGCAACATAACTCTGATTCCATTAGAGATCATTTTAAGTGGCTCCAGATACTAATTCCATAACAATAAAATATGATGCATGGAATAAATATTTGCTATGTTTTGAAAACATACGATGCCAAAGTATCATCTTTGAACCGAGGAACGCATTAGAGTTAATGGAATATTTGAAACTGAGGCCATCGTTACATTACATAGTTACATTGAGGCCGGAGTTTTTGCACTACTTAAAATTTCTAAAACTCATATCAGCGTTGCTCGCAAAACTGTTTCTTGGAAACTGGGGTGGTTACACAAGCATCGAGAACAGTTAAGTCAATAGTTACTGCCCGCAACAGTGATTCGTGACCCTGCTCGACGACATGAAGATTTATGTCAATTTCTGTTGTCACTCTTGCATTTGAATCAAATTCTGCTCTACTTTGATCAATATAATGATTAAAGCTTCTGTCTGCTGCATCGTTGGGCTCGGGTCCGAATCCTAGAGAAAGTATAGATGTTCATAAATGGCATAGTATATGTGCGGCGTGGGGGGCGTTCAAAATGTATGGCAAAACAAAAGTCCTTCAGTGTAGTTTGATGGTAAAGAAAGAGTGGTAGGAGACCTCTTAGACCGTTCCCTGGGTTATTCTTCATCAAAATTGAGGCGGAGTTTAGCAGACAGTGGAAAGAGACTACTTCTCTACGTCCAATGATCAATTATTGGTCTCTCGCCCAATTTATATTAGTACATGCATTCCATCTCGAACCTTCTGCAGTCACCTTAAGTGCACTTTGTAAATAATCTACATTATGCCTCGAATATCGAAATCTTTTTCTGGATAAAATTGCGCAATATAATAATGGGCGTTTTACGTTTTCTGTTACTTAAAATTTCTAAGTCTCATTGAAAATAATAAAAGTGTGTTTTTTTTAATTTCTCTTGAATTTGATAAATAAAGAAGAGAATAACAAGAGTAACAAAATTTTAAAAACTTACCTGAATTAAGCCGTGTCTTCATCGATTCGAATACAGTCCTTTTTGTCCAGCGTATGCAAGCATCATCACTGGAATGCTCCCTGCAAATATTTTTAATTTTAATCTGTCCCGCGGTAACAACCAGTCAACCTCTATATTCTTTACGGGATTGCAATGGTTTTGAATATGCATTTCTGCCTAAGAAATGAAGAACTAACAGGTATTAAACCTGAAAATGGGGGGGGGGAATAAAAAATAAAAAACCATTACCTGCGTTTTTTCCAATTACTGTCCACTCCTTTAAAAAATTGCTTTTTAACAGCATTATGAATCCCTGCTTTTTTGTGATGTAGCAATTGTTTCTCGTTTTTCTAAGCTACTCTGTTTTTTTTATTATTATTTTTTATTTTATCATCTCCCAACCGCTTCAAAACAATGTAAAAAACTGCCTCATTGATTAATTAAAAATATGCAATCTGAAGATTTCGGATTACATCAAAAAACCTCCAAAACGGTTTATTTTGGAAAGAAAAAGTTTAAAAACGTAAAACATCATAAATATTTTCAAAAAATTAATGATTTTTTACCACTTATGCCTAACACATGGCGTTTAGAAACAACTTTTATTAATAAGAATAAATTTCCAAATATTCATAAAAATTATCGATTGGGTGTATTTCAAGTTTAATGTATTTTTAATTTTTATTTGTTACATACATTACAAAAGAATTAAAGGCCTGAATTATTAAGAAATGCACCAGTTGCTTTGTAAATCACTCAGATTGTAATTCACAACAGACGCATGAAATTTGAACGATAATAAATTAATCATCTTTTGCATCGTGACATGTTAACACATTCGAATCTGCTATAGGCGAAGGCGCGTCGAAGGTGAGTTAAAGATTTTATATTTCGTACAGTAGCAACACTCGCTAACATTAGCTTATAAATTTCTTTCGTTTTCGTGTCCTTTACCCTCCGAGGCATGATGGTAACTTCGATTTTTATTTTGCCAGGCGTGAATTTGCATGTTAAGTGAAAGCAATATTCACCTCCTTCGAGGTGCGAAGCATAATAGGCTGTTAAACCATTTAAATCAGAAAGCCAAATGTATATACATCGATTAATAGGGGACATATTAACAGAGTTGCAGAACTGATCAATTTCTAAAAATCTTGTTTATTTAGTGCAGTACAATGGAAAAGTTACTGTCAGAAAAAAGCGTAATTTATAGGAAGTACAGAAAGGAATATAAAATGTGCATTGGATAGCAGCAGTATTAACAGATAATTTCACAGTATTTAGGGATAGTTTTTATCCGTAACAGTGCATAATTCATTTGTGAGTAATATGGAATATATCAACATTATTAAATTACGCGTTAAAATAAATTACTAAATCGTATAAAACGTTTAACGTATAGCCCATTAATCATTTATTTCCCATTGACTCCAATGTAAATCAAAAATTAATACTAATAAAATAAAATAAAATAAAGCCCCCCCCCCAAACAATTTAAGTGCATCACTTTTCAAAATTCAAATTTTAACATCGCACTAGAGGATTTGTTAAGGTTCTCGAGGTTCTTATGCTCTCGCTGAGCTCGCACTTTACCATTCTTCTCTTAGACTCACTCCTGTTAACATGACTTTTTTTTTTGTCTTCTTTATTATCAATTGTTGCTTTCTTCGCGCTTACACATATTAAATTCAATACCAAAATAATAGAGATTTTAAACAGTATATTTCTAGATTTCCGGATGGAGTGTAAATTATTGCTATGACCTTTTCTATTTTTTTTTTTCAGAATTTTCTTAGTTCTTTATATCAATATTCAGTTTGCTTAACAAGATAGCGTACATTTTTTACTCAATTATTACTCAATGACTTTATTCACACTCACGTCTCATAAAATTCAACAGCAAAGTCACAAACATTTAAAAACAATCTATTTTTAGAATTCTCGATAGAGTGTTAAGTGTTTCTCTTTAAAAATAATACATAGCTATAACATTTGGTGACAACATCCTTTTATTTGAAAAGTGATACGGACGCAAAAATGGAGTTCGAGATAAATAGCTGCTCTGGTGCTAACAAAAATATCGTTCTTCATGTTTTCAAATATGTTCTTTGTTTAAATACTGATTTAACTTGCAATACCAAATGGTTTTATTCCCCAAATCAAACTGATTAAAAATGCACTTAAATTGTTAACAGCATTTTCATGTTAATTATTATTTGGGTTACTCCTCTTTCTTGCATATTTATCCTTAACTGCTGTTGAATTTATCATGATTTCAGATTAACCGCGGAAACTGTTTAATCAAGAGCTCTTGTACAGTGCATTATACTCATAATGTATACTATATATTTTTTTTAATTCTTCCCACCAGATTTTGGTTTGGACATTTTTCATTAGTTGTATGAACAAATAAAACTTAATTTTAGTCATATGAGTGAACAGTGATATCACCACTATCAATGCAAATTCATACTGAATCAATTTAATCATACTGATTCAATCAGTACATCTTCTGGTATGACTTGCTGTTCCATAGTGCAGTTCTTTTCAGAAACGTTACAATTATTTCAAAGTTTTAATTTACATTTCTAATCTTTTGTAAAGAGTCGATGCTGACTGAAGACCACGAAGTTCTAAACGAAGTGACTTGAGAAGTAATTAATTACATATGTGGAGGTAAAAAAGACATCGATATTTTTGTTTCTTGTTAGCTGAATTTTTTCTTAATATTCGCTGTATTGTTCTTTAGAAATAATACATGACGATAACATTTGATGACAATATCCTTTTATTCGAAAAGTGAACAAATAAAAGGCTGGCTCTGACAGCTTTAAGTATTTACTCTTGCTCTCAACTGACGCTTTCTTGCCAGAATGTAAATGATTTATCGCGCATGTATTCAAATGAGGCCAGTACGCTGAAATAACCTTAATTTAAGTAATATTACACTCCGTTCCTGTTTGTTATGTTTAATTGACAAATTTCTCTTGATTTAATACTAGTCAATGAACCTTTTTTTCTTAATTAAAACATCAGGTAAAAAAATCCTACAGGGGAAAAGTTTATAAGGTATTTCTCCCGCCTTCACAGCGAGCCTTCGTGGTGTGGTGGTCTGCACACTGGGCGCGTATTCCAGAGATCTGTGGTTCGATTCCCGGCGAAGGCGTTGCATATTTTTCATCTCTCCGGCTTCCAATTAACCTAATGTCTCTATAAGTTTTAAGGAGTCTTTAAATAAAAGAAGAGACGGGAATTAAATTTCAGTTATAAATTAAATTGACAAATCGTAATTAAAAGTAATATAATATTATGCTATCTGTGCACCAGTAATACGTTGTACAATAAAGTATATACAAAATTTAGAAATGTTTTATATTTGTACAGCATCTTAAGCTTTCACACATTCAAAATACTTCACTGTTTTTGTACAGATCTATTAAATTACTTCTGAGCCATTTTCCCCTGAAAGCCTCTCCGAAAATGAGTTTAAAATGTAAATAACAAATTCATGCATCGATATTATGAATAAAATTTCACACCCAACTAAAACACTGACATACTCTATCACAGTCAAATAGCGATGCACTTAATTAATTAGCCGTTCTGTACACTCAAATATAAATTCCAGTGAAACTTTAAGGGTGATTCACAAGTTTCGAAGGGTCAAAGAAAACCTTCTTCATTTCGCCAAAAGTTGCAGGAATCGACAAACTTTCCTTGCGAGCGTCATGGTTGCC